ACAGACACTGACAGAGACAGACACTGACAGAGACAGACACTGACAGACACTGACTGACTGACTGACAGAGAGACACTGACTGACTGACTGACTGACTGACTGACTGACTGACTGACTGACTGAGAGAGAGAGAGAGTGAGAGAGAGAAAGAGAGAGAGAGAGAGAGAGAGGGAGAGAGAGAGAGACAGAGGTCATCGCTAGCGCGTTGGAGGCCATCGCCCCAAGTTAGGAGGCCGTCGCTAGCAGGTTGGTGGCGCGTGCAAGAATTCAAAACTGCACAAAGAGATACGGTTGGAGGTCATCGCTAGTACGTTAGAGGCCTTCAACCCAAGGTTGGAGGCCAACGCTGGTAGGTTCGTGGTTTGCATAAGGACTCAAAACTGCACCAAGCAAGGAGGTTGGAGGTCATTGCTAGTACGTGGGAAATCGCGCCAGGTTGAGGCCAGCGCTTCCAGTTTACAAGACACAAACTCAAAACGCAAGTCTGAGTGAAACGGGTGGGAGGTACAGTGGAGTGGCCAACTCCACCATTTCATTTTGCTGCCTAGCTTTGTTAGACCACGTCAGCAGCAGCAGTAAGGTCCTCTGTGACTGCAAGGGGTCTACACACACAAAGGCGAGAACTTTACGCAGACTGTTTTCAATGAGGTTAAATGAATTCTGCAAATATAAACGCGAAGTCGTAGAATGTTCATGATGCAAAAAACATTTCAGCGCCAGATGAAGATCGTTGGGGGGGAATATCCATGGGCCTGAAACAATGGTTGGTATCACATGCATGTGAGTTTGCGTCAAGGCAGTCATGATGCCATTTGTGTGCAAAACACTTATTGTTATTGAGGCGGCCAAAAACGCATGTGAATCTGAACTACACGTACAAACCATTATGATGTGATGTTGGCATTTGGGCTTGTGATCCAATTGTTTTTTGTTCAAAACGTTTCTATGGGCGCCCGTTGAAAACAGCCGATGAACTTCTTCATTTTTTTGGCAAGAGATTTGGTTGTGTGTGGTTGCGTGGATTCAATTGAGTTTTTGTGTCGCAGTTTGGCTCCCGGTTTCCGGACACTACATGGCATCCTTTGTCAGAGTGTGCGTGGCTTTGCTTTGTGTTGGGGCAGACACTCGAGAAAATGATGTGGTCTTCGCGGAGGTGAAACAAATTGATTTCAAAACAACACAACCAAAGACTTGGTGTGGCTTCCGGGACTTGGATGGAGTGTCATCGGCTGAACCTTTGCTGATCAAATCAGCAGAAAAATTTTCGTTCCATTGGGATTCCGTTCTGCCAGAGGACGAAATCGTCAGTGTCGAGCTTTCCAACTCCTTCACATTCAAACCGTATGCAAATTTGCACCAAACATCCCTTCCAGTGACATGGGCTGTTGCCAAGAAGATCCTCAAAGGCGAACATCCAGTGAGCAGGACTTTTGCATCGTATATCCATCAGCAATCCTTGCTTTCTCCATTGGACCCGTTTTTGTCTGAAATAGCAAGGCACCTGCCGCAATGTTTTTCTGAGATTGTTGCGCACAAAGTGCTATTTTGGTTGGGTGGCTCGACCAACCACACGTCTGGTTTGCATTATGATGCCGTTGACAACCTGTACGTCATGCTGGAAGGGTCAAAAGAAGTCTTGTCCAAGCAGATAATAATATGTTTTTTTTTTTTGGTACCTTCGTTTTCTACCGGTGCTTAATTTTTGGCACACACACAAAAAAAAATATATATATACACACAGTTGTACACATATAATTTTGGTCCTTTCAAACCAACCACCGAGGTGATTTTATACCCCCCATGGCATGCTGCAAACCTGGCTTGTGGTCGCAGGCGAACCCAGGGTTTTCGCTCTTTAGAAGGGTTAGGCCTCTAGTGGCTGTAGTGACTCTATATTTTTTCGAGTGCACTGCCTTCGGAACCGTGCAAACAAAAAGGACAGCAAAGCAACTCATGTAGCATTAATGTATATAAAACGTCAGTGTTCGATTTGTGTTGCCGCATTTCTGGGCGTAAGTGGCTCCAATGGACCATGTTATTACAAGGACAAAGGCAGTGTCGCAATGATTTATATAACCCAAAGAACCACAGGTTGACTGGAAACTTCTTCATGTTCGATGAGGCGGACTTCTCAGAAGCCACTATTTCTCCACGATTTCCTGCACAGCCTAGGTGGATGAGTGAGTCCATTGCTCAGACAGATTGCAATTCGTTGGTATCCTTAGTTTTTTGTAGTTGCCTACGTATGTACATGTGTGAAAACCGGAGCCCTGTGGCCAAAAGACAAACGCAGCCGCTCCTATTCTCACGATGTCCGAAGGTGAACCTGATCCTGTGTTCATGACTGTTTTTCATTCCTTAAACAACTTCTATCTTCAAGGATTTATAATGGATGTCCCATGATCCATTGGACATGCACTTAAAAATCAGTTCCTCCATTCACTTTCCTTGCAGCTCAAGCAATCTTCGGTTCTTGTCGTTCGCTTCCTCCTAGGAAAGTCTGGTTCGGCTCAGGGCTGCGATTCTTCTTTCCCATGACACCTAGTGCAGAGAGGTAACTGGATAAGTCCTCAAATCCACTGCCCTTTCCGGCACCATGCTCGTGCACCCAGGTCAAAAAGGACTCATTTTGGTGTCCTCAATCAACTCAGCATAGCTCTGGCCTTGCTTTGAGACCTTGAGAAGACGTCTTCCACACTGATCACTCGGGGCAACATCACGATCTTCTTGTCCTTGGACCCTTTTGGCTTCAATAAAGATGGTAATGCAATATTTATTGCCATTTGATGGGCGTGGTTATTTCCACAAATCAATGATTTTATATATTTATCAATGCATATATCCATTGCACTGTCAGGCCATGAAAAGCGGCAAATACAGGCAAAAGGATCTCAATTCTGGGAAAATCAATCAGGATCTAATTCTTGGGATGCAAATCCGGAAAGCGCTGCTCCAGCCTTGACGTTTTTCAAGAGCTCGCTGCTCTGGTAGGCGATTGCCTACTCCTCAAGCTCCCAAACCTCTGGTTCACGAAGGCGTTTGGAAGCATCGTTTTTGTTGCGCCACACCTGCTTCTGGCTGCAGTCCGGCTTCATGAGCTCTTGCCATAATCGCTTGTGCCATTGCCGACTTTTCCTGGTATGGTAATTGCCTTTGGGGCCATGACTGTTGGATGCATCTAACCAAACACGCACTGTCAACTCTTTTTGAGGGATTGAGGCAACTGTGATGGTCAAGTCTGATTGCTGTCATGCAAGTCGCACTTTTTCAGTGGCCTGGAGAAGGTCGAAAATCGCTGAGTTGTCTGAACTGACAAGTCTGGACTACTTAGTGCACCGGACCATGTACTGCTTTGAGTGCAGCAACTTCCTGTGGGTTTGCTGGAAGCCATGGTTTCCTGAACTTTGCTTGCTCAGTTTGATGGGTTGCATAACTCTGCATATTCTTGGGTTGATCTCAAAGGTTTCAATATTTATGGTATAGAGATTGGTGTCTTAAGGGTTCACCTCCACTTTCTGAAAGGAAAACCATCTCTCAACTTCTCAATGAACGATGGCTTTCTGATGTATTTCTCCTGCCCCGCCCGCGGTGGTCTCATCAACATGTGCCTCCAAAATTCCTTCGACGTAGCCACTGCAACATAGCAATAATACAGGCAATTGTCAAATTTGCTACAAACACCCCCCGCTGCAATTGCTTCCTTGTCAAACTCACAGTGCCATTCATGGGGGTGCGCTGTTTGCCCCGTAAATGTTTCCAAGAATCTGCAGGAGGGATCCCTTTTCAACACCTGGAACCCTCCCGTGGAAGCTCTCCAACAGGATTCGGAAGGACTTCCTGCTTGACATCTGCCTCTAGAAAAGCTCCCTCCGAGATGTATCGTCTAGCGATTGCTAACTAGCATTTGGAATCAAGCTCCGGCTGACATGTACAATATCGGTGAGTGACACTTTCCGGCCACCCTCTGGAATATATCCTGGTCATGGTGTCCACGCAAACACCATTTTGCGTACAGTCCTCAAGCTTTTCGATGATCACGACTAGGCTTGTCATGATTTGGTCAGCTCGATGCATTCGAATCCGTTGTCAATTCAGTTGTCTTCGACAAATCAATCTGTTCTTTGAGAACCTGACGATTGTGAGAATGTTATTGTTCTTTCTGCTCTACCAAGCTTTTGATTCTGCCGGACCAAGCTTATCAACAAGTTCAGCCAAATTTGTTTGTCTCCTTGTTCCTCCGTCAAAAGGTCAAATGTCAAATGCTCTGCTGCCTCTAGTAGAAACACCAAAAGGAAAACGATGGAAAACGTATGGGCCTCGTTGTTTTGGACCCATGTCTTGTTGGGTATTGCCTCCACCCAAAGCTTCCATCGCCTATACTCCGGTGGGTCCAAGCTTTCCCCACTGAAATGGTGTTGAGCCTCCAGAAGCCACACGCAGCTGCTCCTACTTTTACTGCCCTGAGCGTGGAGATGCCTCGCGATGTCTGAAGATGAAACTGATCCTTTGTTCATGGCATTGCTTTTCACTAATATACAGAATAGAACCATGTTTGAATGAAGTTGATGTTTTCTGCTCCTAAAGCTCGCAGTGCTTTTACAGCTAAAGAAATTTGTAGATTGAAACACAGAGCCAAATGAATTTTAATATACATATTATATAGATCATGTCATCAGACTTGCAAGCTTGAAATCATTGCATGACTCATAGATGGAATACTGTTAGTGTATATACATATACACTTATATAATTGGCATATTGTCGGAAAGGACATGAATTAAGACCAGCAACTCTAAAGGCACGAAGATTTTGTTTGTAAATATACATGACATGTATTGTGATTCTTAGGCCCGCAGCCTGCTGCTACGCCTAGAAGGAAGTTTCAAGACAATTGGTCATGAACAAGAGTCACAGTTGCTAGTCCAGACAGGGCACGCATGATAGTCCATATCACACCCAACCAAAAGTCCTACCTGAAGACGCAGGAAGACACTGTCATTTGTTGCCAGATGAAACCTGGTGTGGTGCTTTCCAAAATACCTTCAACAAGTGTTTCGCAGCCGTCTACATCGTTTCATGACGATACATGTTGTTCTATGCTGGGGGACTTGCATGAATCTGCCTTTATGAATGTGATTTGACACTGGATGTCGCTTCTTGCTCGCTTGTCCTTTCCATTCAGGTGCGAAGATTTCAAGCAGGTGACAAAGCTCCGCGTTCAAGTGGAAGCTGGTGCTTCTAGACTTTGCAACAGTTCTAGCTTTGTGTTGATGTTGTTGTCATCACCGACGCCGAATCTAGTTTGCCTACTCCTAGGTCCTAGACAGAGTGTTTTTTGAGTTTGAGACAATTGTGGGACAATGACTTCAGGACATCCTGTGGATACCCAGTGGTTGGTTTCACACAGTGCGAAGCTCTCCAAAGTCGGTGGCAACCAGTATTTTCCATCACGGCATGGCTGCGGTCCCACATGGCATGCTGGTGAGTTTGCTTAATCCCAAGCATTTACGATCCATTTTTCAGGAAACTCCTGTGATGGAAGAGGCGCAACACGTATTGACCGCGAAGATCTTGAGTGCTTATCCAGATCTTGATTTTCAAGATGAGGAAGATGGCCAGGATGAGAAAGTGAAAGATCAGGAAGTGGCAGAATCTTTCAACCGTCATTTGCACAGATATTCAGCTACCTCACGACAGTCACTACAGGAGCTGCAAGGGCCGCAAGTTGTGGGGCGTAGACTGATCGAAGCGCTCGCGCGGAGGCCTTTAGTAGCGACATTGGCAGAGGCGCTTGAAAGGAATCCTGATTTGATTTGCAAGGTTGTTATGAACCCCAACGCACTGTCAATCACTTTGAATCAGCACTTCTCGTGTGTTTTCTTATTTGCTTAAACTGGCGTTAGCGAGCCTATGCCCAGCAGGCTAAGAGGGTAGCTGCAAGTACCCTAGGCAGTGGCACAATCTTGTCAGAGAATCAGACCTTGATTCGGCCTTGCTTGCTTGGACCAAAAGCGCTGTGAACAATCTTAGCGCCAGCAGCAAAGCAACGACCATTTCAGGCAAGGCCTTTATATAGTTGTGATGTGATGTTGCTATGGCTTGTTGGGCGATGTGGGCAACCCGAAAAAAATGATATTTGCCCAGATAGCAACCCATTAAGGTGCATTCGTCTTTGGTTTTGTGAGGCTGGCTGCATGAGATATTTCCTGGCTGTTTGGATGCTGGATGTGCAGACGCCATGCGAGAGGTGGCCCTGGTTTCTTCGGATGGTTGGCTTCGCGGTTGTCGTGAGCAAACCAAGAAAGCAAAGATGAAGATAGAGCTCTAGCAGCTACTCTAGCAGCTCTAGTTGATTCTGATCAGACGATCTGGAACACCCAATCTCTTGTGCTCCTGGGATCTCAATTTTGACACGGATCTGCAGACTCTGCGCACATTGGCCGGTCCGAGAGTCCACGCTCGGCTGTTACTGTGTCCACGCTGGATTTCCCCACTCAACAGTTTGGGCTGAAGGGGCGAGAGCATTGACCATGTCTATCGAGCGCGAGAGACAAGCTGTGCTCGGGCAATCCGCTGTGTCATTTAGAGGGTTTTCGGTGCACTGGCACTGAGATGTATCGAGTATAGAGTAGTGGAGTGATTGGCTTGGTGTGCCTGGAGATTGAGCTTTGAAAGATCATCTCCAGCACAAAGACCAGCTATTTCTGAAAGTGGTTGCTAGGCCACCGGCGGCCACCGACTTCTTCAGTTTCATATTGAAAAGGTATTAGATTCCCGTCGCCCTGGCGCCCATACTCTTTTCAATTTCCCCCTGAGCCAAGCCAAGTCAACCTTTGCACATATTTAATTTAATGTGCTTGGTTTAGTTTTGCTTTTTGTTGGAACATTTTTGCTGTACGATGACGCGCATTTTCAGATCAATAATGTTTCAAAGAGCAGCCCATGAATGTTTCTTGTAGATGTTTGTAGAGAGGGGTTGCAGGGGTCAGCTGAACATTTCACCTTGGCATTGAACATTTCGCTGAAAGCTTGAATTGTTCTTCGGGACCGGACCTTTCGGGGGCGGAGATGGCGGAGAGCATGGCAAACGAAGAGGAGCCTTGCGCGGAATGACAATGGCAGTAGCAGTAGCACTAGCATAGTAGTGGTGGTAGTAGTGGTGGCGGTTCTGGTAGTAGTCGTCGTAGTAGTTGTAGTCTTCGTAGTCGTAGTCGTAGTAGTAGTCGTAGTCGTTCGTAGTGGTTGGTAGTGGGGTAGTGGTAGTGGTAGTTGTAGTGGTGCAATACGTTTTCATGACTTTTTTTCTGGTTCGGTCTCACATATTATTAGGTAAACGTCTCAAACATTAGGTATACTATACGGTAGTCCAATGCATCTGGCCTTTTGCTCTCCTGCAAAAGCGAACCCTAGTTCTCCAGTCTCGTTCACCACAACGTTTGGTTTCTCAAGGATCGGGGAGATACTGGCCGTGTTCCAATGTTCTGTGGGGTGTCATATGAGAAAGTAAAAGCACCAGGCAGTAACAATTGCATCGCTACTTAGTAACAAGTCTGGCCTTACTTACTAGGAGCAAGGACGCTACTAGGGGGGGCTCCTGGCGGTACTACTAGTAACAAGAAGCTACTAGTAACAAGTGCATCACCATTATATGCTCGGCACAGCAACTTCAGAGGACATTCCCAGCTTTGGCGTGGCGGATTCGGCCGGGAACTGAAGCTGGGTCGAGTCGCTCTTTCAATGCCAAGAAACCCAGCGTGTCCCCTTTTGAGATGTGTTCGAGGCAGCAACATTTGAAGCTGCCGTGCTGCAGAGTACAGGAAGCTGGACCTCAGCTGAAAGTCAACGTGTAGCCAAGCAAGGGGTCTATGCTTCTTGCAGGTCTGCAACGAACAGAGCCTGCCAGCAGCGGGGTGTGAAACTTGACTTTCTGCGTGATTTTACGTACACTTCTCTGTATGCTTGGCTCTCCAGTGCATTGCACCCTCGAGAGAGGCAGTTGAAGATGAGCTGAGCTTTGCTGCTTCTGTTGACAAGGTTGCTCAAACTTAAACGATCGGTGACGATTGGATACTTTTACCATGGGGTAGATGCGTATTTGCCTGATGCAGGTCCAGGAGGTGACAGAACAACTTGCTGAGTTTTTGGTGAAGTTCAGGCAGTGGCATTGAAAAAGAGACCGACTGCTCACGACCTTGTGCAAAAGCTGTTAGCTGGACCTGCAGTAGCTAACTCAAGCGTACAAGCCAGCATTTGCTTTCAGAGTGTCTACCCTATGCCAAGCAAGTTGCCGCCAGTTCAGACGAGCAGTACGAGATTTTGGTTCCTTTTCTCTCAACTTTGTGCTGCTCTCAGTCGTTTGGTTCTGTCTTCTTTCTCCGTGATTTCCAGTTCAATGCTCGAAGTGCAAACATTGAAGAGCTGCTATGGCCTATCTAGAATCTAGATATTGAGTTTAAAGCGCCGATGAATCAGGGGAGATACTGGAGAGGAGTGTGCCCGAGCCTCAATGACAAGCAATTAACATCTTCCAAGCTGAGATGTTTTTGGGTCTTTAGGGTCCTTAGAGGGTCCCTCGATATCCCAAGGTTGAGCCGCACATTGATGAAGCCCGCAAGTTCATTTGGTCTGCCTGCCCTTTGTTGGCACATCTGGAGTCAACATGTCTTCGTGAATGTTTCCGCCAGTCACTATCTTGCCGTGTTCTCCCAGTGCGAAAGAGACTTGATTCTGGACCGTCCGGGCTTTGAGTGCGCGTTGAAGACTTCAATTCCACACTGGTGCCCTGGACGACAGGAGAAGTGGCGGCCAGCCTTTGACATGTCCTCAATGAACTCTGCGACAGAGCCCAATACTCAGCCTGCGCTGGTTCGTCATCAGCTGCGATGATCAACTTATGCATGTTTATTCCATGTGAAAGTCTTGGGGGAGCTGGGGGCCGGGTCTATTGGTTTTGAATCTGTTTCAACTTAACTGCTTTGGCTACCACGTCTTGTCCAACAATCACACGTCGAAGTTTTTGTGTTGGCCACCGGGAAAAAATACAACGGACATGACAGAAGTTCGCTTGAAGCGTATGTGAAACCATCCTGCTGCTTTTTTGTTGCAAGCACGCCTTCTTTGTTCACTTTTGAAGGGTATTTAATGCCAGGTCTTTAACGCCATCCGCCAGGATCTCAGATTTGCGAAGCATCCCACGGTTGGGCCCTGTTGTAGGGCCCCTCTGAACCCCATTGGGCTGTTTCACCAGGTCACGCCGCCAGGATCTGTGACGCCCACTGTGGTGACTCCAAGAGAGTGGGTGACTCAATAGGTGAGAGAGAGTTTCTGCGATTCGCTTCTTGGCTGATTTTGATTTTCCAGCTTCGTTTCGTGAGGTTCTTAAGCGCACGCCGGGAAGTGAACGAAGTGTACCACAGCCACTCTCCGTGTGCTGAGGAGAGGTCATGTCAAGCATTTGCCGATACTGGGGGTGTCAGAATTGTGGCTTTTGAGGAGAGCAGTTTAAGAATTTGCCTTCTATAAATTGTGACTCTGTGATTCATGTCAGGATCGGTAGGGCTGCAAAGGGGCGGCACACCATACAGAGCATGGAGTAGCACTGCCTGATTCCCGCTTGTTAGTTTCAGTTCCAGCAGTTTGTCTCAGATTTTGGGCAGACTGACTGCCATGCAAAAGCAGGGCAAATCTGTCTCACTCCATCTAGTCTGCAGGTCAACCCATGCCTTTGACCTAGGACCTAGCTTTCAATGAGGGTTGAGACTCTGCCTGAGTGGTCAAACAGTTTCAATTGCATAAACACAATATGGTCTACCCACTGCGAAGATTGTTTTCTTGGTTCGTCAGGTTTGTTTGGTCTTCAGCAATTGTATCACGAAGGCAGGTGTCAAGTAGTCAGAATGCATGTTCCATGGCCTGTGTTTAGACTTCGGAATCCAGAGGCCAGTAGATCAGAGTCACTTCATTGTTTTCCAGATGTTTCGATGACAGAGAAGTACTGTTCACCGAGGATCTCTTCAGCAACATCCCAAAGTAGAGTCCAAAAAGGCTAATGGTGCAAGCTGTGGATCATTCGAAGTGCTGCATGTTCGAACATGTAGGTGTGCAACAACCAGGATGATCCCAAAAGACCCTAACAGAAAGGGAGCGCACATGAAACGGTTGCGGGGGCCAAAGATTTATTCTGGAGTCACAAAAAGCTCCTTGCCACGATAGGTGTGGCTCAAACATAGCATCAGAGGACTAGAGATTTCTACCTCTTCTTCCCTCAGGGTTTTGAGTGTACCCATTTTGAGCCATATCTAGATCAAGCCTGTCCTGCTTTGAAGCTTGAGTCCAAACCATCAAGTATCACCTTCAGGACCAAGCACCTCCGGATACATTTGCTCATTGTGGAGTCAGGGGAAATAATGCAATTTTCTGGAGGGGTAAATGAAGTAAGATAGCTTGAGAATGCATATTTCTTCCTTTTGAAGGTTGCATCTTGGATGAAACAATAATGTACTACTTGCGAATGTTTGGGCATTGAAGACGCAGAATGGCATAGCCTGTGAACATGTGCGATGATTGCTGTGATGGATGGACACTGTTGTGGAGACGAAGACCTAGAGCTATAACTGTTCAAGATTGTCCAGACATTCTGGTGAATACTCCTGGGCACAAAGTGCAAGAGGCTTTCAGAGTGAGGAAACGCACATTGGGCAAGGGTGGTTTTAGCACTGTGAAACTCCTCACAAATCGAAAAACAGGAGCTGCATGTGTGATGAAAGAGATTCGCAAGAGTTCCGTGTCCAACTTGAAGTTGCTGCAAGAGGAAGTAAAACTGCAGGCCTCGATGGACCATCCACATATTGCTCGACTGTTTGAAACTTTTGAAGATGAACAATTTATCAAGATCGTGATGGAACACTGCGAGGGAGGTAATGTTCTGCACTTGATCAAGGGTGCTGGTGCTCTGCCTCAAAGTCATGCTGCTCATCTTTTTCGGCAGTTGATTTGTGCCCTGATCTACATGCATCAACATTGCCATGTAGTTCACCGCGACATCAAGCCAGAGAATTTGGTGCTGAAGGAGAAGGACATGTCGGTGGACCAGGCAACTGTGAAACTTATTGATTTCGGCTTTGCCCGCGAATTTAGTCAGAACAATCAACTCAAAACTATTTGTGGCACACCCATCTACGTTGCACCCGAAGTATTTTCAGGAAGCTATACAGAGAAATGCGACATTTGGAGTAGTGGCGTCACACTTTATTACATGGTTTGTGGCCGGCCACCCTTCCAGGGGGACAGGGTTCAAGTGATTCTCCGAGAAGCCCGAAAGGGCCTCCAAGGTTTGCTCGCAAGCTCGCTGAGCTCGAGCGAAGACCGAGAGGTCGAAGGTCTCGAGCCCGAGACATCACATGCCTTGATCGAACTGGTGGAAGAGATGTGTGAATTACTGGAAGCTCGCCGACCTTCAGCCCAACAGGTGTTGGAGAGCCAATGGTTGCGACTTTGCGCCAAAAGCATTTCCCATGCAGCCAGTTGTGCATCGGATGAGATTGCAGCCAATTTGCAAAACTTTTCGGAGATGAATCCTCTCAAAAAAGCGGCTTTGAACACCATTGTCCATGTGATCGACGACTCTGATATTCAGCACTTGCGGGAAACCTTTGAATGCCTGGATACACGTGGTGAAGGCACGATTCCACTCGACACTCTTCACACGACCATCTCAAAGTCCACCCATCGCCAGGATGCGGACAGCATTTGTCGAACCTT